GTCAACTGTTGGACTTGATGATCTTAGAGGTGTGTATCAACCTTGCGATTCTATGGTCAGTAGGAAACTCCCGAGCTTGGTACGGCCCTCAGACTGTGACCCACTACTGCCTTTTCAGTGGCTGGTGGTGAAGCTGCCACATGTAGTCAAAGAGATATCAAAAAAGACTTCAGAGCATTGGCACAGTTGGTGAGGAAATCTGGGGTGCAGGTTATTTTCTTCACTCTTCCAGTTGCAGGCCGCGACATTGGAAGAAACAGACGGATACAGCCCGCATGTATACATGGCTGCGTGGCTGGTGTCACTGCCACAATTTTGGGTTTTTCGATAACAAGGTGGCCTGCATGGCACCAAGCTTGATGGGGTCAAATGGGATTCACCTTTCTCAAAGGGAGAAGGCTTAGAGGCAGCCTGGGTTTCAGTGAACATGCAGTGGTGGAGTTCACAGTCCTGAGGGACATGAATGGCTGCGTGGCTAAAGTCAGAACCCTGAATTTTAGGAAAGCAAGCTTCCAGCTCCTCAAGGAGTTAGACAATAAGACTTCCTGGGAAACTGCCCGCAGGGACAGGGGCGCAGAACAGAGCTGGCAGATCTTTAAGGATGCTTTCCGTAGAGTGCAAGAGCTCTCAATTTCCATGAGTGAGAAATGGGGATGGCAAGGCAAGAGACCAGCATGGCTGAGTCGAGACCTGCTGGTCAAACTAAAGAGCCAGAAGGAAGTACAAGCTGTGGAATCAGGGACAGCTATCCTGGGAAGAGTATAGGGATGCTGCCTGGTTGTGTAGGGATGGGATCAGGAAGGCCAAGGCACGGCTGGAGCTGAACTTGGCAAGCGATATAATAAGGGCTTCTACAGGTGCATCAACCAGAAAAGGAAGGCTAAAGAAAGCATTCCCCCCAATGAGCAAGACTGACAAGCTGGTAACAATGGGCAAGGAGAAGGCTGACGTACTCAACCACTTTTTTGCCTCAGTCTTCACTGGCAATTTCTCTTCCCACACCTCTTGGATGGATTGCCTGCACAACAGGGACTGGGGGAGCAAAGTCACTCCCACTGTAAGAGAAGATCAGGTTCATAACCACCTGAGGAACCTGAATATACATAAGTCTATGGGGCCTGACGAGATGCATCCCAGAGTCCTGTCTTTAAAATTAAATCATGTTTTTCTGAAATTTGATAAAGGAAAGAAAGTATTTTTATTTTTATTTTAAATCTGGCATAGAGCATCTTCCTCCAACACATGAAGAGACTTCTCAGTTGGAGGCAATAAGTTGCAATGACTGTTTTAGTTTTCTTTGAACATATTTACAGGTATCAGAGTGAATCGAATGAATTGACACATTGGTTACAATCTGCAAAGGAGCGACTTGAGTTTTGGAGCCAGCAGTCTTTGACAGTTCCTCAGGAACTGGAAACAGTCCGAGACCACCTGAACTCCTTTTTGGTAAGCCATTCATGGACCTAGGACGCGTTTTTCTCTTTAATTACAAAAAAATAGTTGAGCAATCATATGGTTATACTTTTTCTCATCATTGAGATGGTGAATATGCAGAAAATAATCTGCTTCTGTAGGCAAGCTGTCCTTCAAAAAACTGGTGTGCATGCACATTAAGCACTCCTTTGCTGCATGCAATGATTGTAAAGCTTGATGATTCTGGTTTTATGACTGATAATAATTTTTGTTCTAATTTGGTCTGAAGTATTGCTGGTAAACATTAATAAAAAGTACATATTTTTAAAGGGGAAGGGAAGATTTTCTTAGCTTTTTCAGGTAAAGCTTTAAGTACAGGATACAAGTAGTTGATTATTTCCACAAAAATGATTCTGCTTACAGGAATTTTCAAAAGAAGTGGATGCTAAATCATCACAGAAATCTTCTGTCCTGAGTACTGGGAACCAGCTGCTCAGGCTGAAGAAGGTGGATACAGCAGCACTGCGTGCAGGATTGTCCCACATTGACAGTCAGTGGACAGAGCTACTCACACAAATCCCGGCAGTACAAGAGAAATTACACCAGGTAAGGAAGGCCAGTGATGGCCTTTGATATTCCAGAAAATTCAGGCCATACAGATGGCACTGCTCCCTTCTTCAATTTATCCATGTGAGGCAAGATAGGAACAACATTACTCCTGCTTTAATGTCGGAAAGCTTACATTTACATCCAAATCCTGTCTACCCATCCTGTCTAACACAAATCGGTGTTAATTACAGACTTTCACAGTTACGTTTGTTAAATTTTAACCAAAGAACAGATGAGGGTTTTTTCAACATGTTGGTATGCTTTTTGGAAAAACGGAGTTCACATCCCTGTGCCCTCTCAGGTTTGGGTGGTGTTTCTTTTTTCAAATTGAGTAGACTGGGTTCAAGTCTGTGCAAGACAAAATAAATCTAAAAGCATTGTGCAAGGTTCCTGCTAATGTATGTAGGAGCAGGAAGGTTTTGGTTGTGTAGTTTGGTTTTTTACTGCTACAATGCTGAAGTTAGAGAATTGTACTGTCTAAAAGTTGGTTTAGTATTTAGTTGCTAGGAGGTTGTTAGTATAAGATGTTTCAGTTTATAATTTGGAACACTCTCAGAGTTAGTAATATTGTCGTGATTTAGGGGGAGAGAGGAAGGGTAAGAAATGTTAACTGAGTCTACTGAGTCTACTATATTAAACAAAATAATGTCATTCAGTAGTTCCCTGAACTGTCTCATAATGCAAAATATGTCAGCCTAAAAATGTCATAGAACACGTTTCTGAGTAACTAAATGTAAGCAAGCATTAGTATATCAAATGTTGAAAGTGAGTTGTTTAAGAAAAAAAGAGATACTATTCAAAATAAGCCCATTTAGAAATCACCACACAAGAAGAGTGTGGTGAAAGATTATTTTCCATGGGTCTATACATTAACCATTTACAGGAACAGGAAAAATGTAGCTTAAAGTTGATCTTCTACATAAGCCGAATACAGAATTATGGAATGAGAATACAGAACCTTTAGGAAGCCAGAAATGGAATCTTTGGGTTTGTCCAGTTTCTTTGTACAATGAAGAATGGAAATAAGAAGCCTTTAATATAGTATTTTCTTTCTGGGATGCATGCAGTTGTACAATATATCTCCTGTTAAAACCTTTCTTTTTTTAAAATTTCTTTTTCTTTTTAGAAACTTCAGTGATATGTTAGGAGTGTAGAATAACATGGTAATAAGAGCAGGTAAAGGAAATGTGCTATGGTAATGGAAAGCAAGGAATTCTTATGCATTTTCTTCACCACATACATTTTAAGTCTGTTATCTTTACAGCTCCAGATGGACAAAATTCCTTCTCGCCATGCTATCACTGAAGTTATGAG